TCTTCAAAGAAGAGAAAATCTCACAAGTCTGGAGATGGATCACGCACGCATAAGAAGAAAGTTAAGGATGTTGCTTACACAAAGGTTGAAGCAATTTCTTCCCGGCATAGCATTGTTTCTCTATCCAATTTTCAATTTTGGGTGCTCGAAGATCCAGTGAGTTTAATGTTTTGTTCAAGCCAATTGAGATATGTAATTTTCAGTATTAATTATTGGTGTGCTCTCTAATACCACCTCTCTTAGCAAATATATAGTCGATGTTGTATCTGCAACAGATTCACCTTTTTACCCAATTTTGTGGTCACTGTTGACAGAAGTAACAAGTTAAAACATAATTCCAAGTTAGAATGAGTTTTTAACACTTTTATGTAAAATATTAAAGTTTTATATTTTGCAGTTAAGATGGTAAGTTATACAAGATTTATTCAAACAAAAATTTTTACAAAAACTTGTGAAACACACTATTTTTCTATGTAAATCTCAATATCAATTAGTGAAGTGGGAAGAAACCAAAACTTGGTCCACGTTTGTCCATTTTCATAATGTTTCTTTGTCCCCATAATTCAGACTTCATGATCGTTAAAAAAAATGAAAAAAGAAAATATTATTTAACATCCCTCAAATTGATTCTTAAAACTCAAAATTTTATTCAACCATTTTGCAAGTTATAACACTTACAAATGTTTTCCCAACATTCCAAAATAGTAATATCATTAAATCATAATCCGTTGAGGGTGAGGTACGGTAACTTAAAAAACTAAAAAATAAAAAATAAAAAAGTCTTCGATAAAGTCTCGATTTTCTTTCTCAATTTTCTCGCGTCCCAAAACAATGTCAAAGCGTCCCCAAGAAACATACAGAACCGGCTACGCTCTGACTCCCAAGAAAGAGCAGAGCTTCATTGAGCCGTCTCTCCCCGTCACGCCTCCGAACGCGGTGTTTTTCTTATATTAGAAACTTTTAAAACGTAACAGAGTTGATTAGAAAGACTAATAATATTAAATCCTAGTAATAATCAATGGTAAATATGAAATTTTATTTAATTAATATAACATTTAAGTATTAAATAACATCTGTATTTTATGATTGGGAGTACTAATTTTGTTGGCTATGTCTATGGTACTGTTTATACCACGCTTTCCGGTGACCCTTCTGTTCAGGGCGCTGGATCTTGTGCTTGTGCTTGTGCTTGTCCATTCTCGCTTCCACGCTTACGATCTCGGAGGTACAGCCATAACGAATAGATGGGCCAAATCAAGAGAGAAACCACAATAATGACAGCGAGAACTGGAATTGAAAGGTGAAACGCCATGGCTCGACCTGTTAATTTTCATTCATTCACAATTGAGAGGAATAAGAATGAGATTATACTATATGTTTCTACTGAATTTAATTTTACGAAGAAAAATACTATAAAGACATAATATAAGACATATATGTTTTGATTTTACCTAGTATTAGTACTTCTGCTTGAATTGTGGAAAGCAACGACTTCTGTACCTCTGTTGCTCTATACAATTACAATGAGAGAAAGTTGTTATCCATACTAGTTTTACAAAAATATTCCTTAAATAAATTAATTTGTTTCATTACTCAATGCAAATCTAATTATTGTTTTGTAATCTTTCTCATTGATATTTGTTTTACTCGGGCGGGAACACTTTTTTTTTTTTTTTTGCATTTATTAAAGGAATTTCCTTATTAAATACAGAATCTATAATTAATTTTGTATAAATTTTTATACTAAATTCA